GGAACGATGAACACAATCATTGATAAAGTGAAGCAGGTTGTTCTAGGATGGTTTCTGCATACTGAAAAATCTTTCTATGGCAAAGCTTTTCAAGCATTAGTTACAGTAAATGCTGGGATAAATGTAGCAGGGAACTATGTAAAAAAATAAATGCAGTTTCCACTCCTTGAAATTTGTTCTTTTATTATCTAAATTCAAAAGTACCAGTTTGACTTTACTGCCCCTCGTATATTGCTCAGAAATGGAATTAAAAGCATTTGACACCTAATAAATATCTCTAGTAGGGATGAATTCAGGGTTTGGTCTGAACACAAGTTTGGACCAAACTTTGGTTGTTTGGGTGTTTGTCTGAATGCTGGCCTTTTTAACTGGTTCATCGGGAGCCAAGCATCATATAAAGTAGCAATATTTATTTCATTTTTCTAACTGTCAGTTTTTGCTAAGGAAGTGCTGGGTGATGACACCTGCCGTGTCCTTAGCAACCAGAGATATCACCCAGGCCCATTCATTTACTGGTCATGGGTGGGGATAGCATGACATGACTGACTGACAAAATATTGCCACTTAACCATATTTGGTCAATTGCATCACTTGAGCGACCCTTCCCTCTTGTTTATTTTGAGCTATGGGGCCTGGAAAATGTCATTCGATGCTAGTCAGTGACAGGTTTCCATAAGCTCACTGGATTGTTTACTTTTGGTAGGTGTTGATCATTGTGATTAACGTGGATCTGCACCGCTAGTAGATGTAATTGACTATGGATGTACACCGTGGGACTTTTTTTTTTTTTTCATTAAGGACTGTGTAAGAGTTTTTAATTTACTTTTTACTTTGTGTTAAAAATTCTTCTATATATAGTCCTACAGAACAGACAGAACAGTGCACAGTCCACATGTGCTTTTCTGCTTCACTGTAACAAGGAAACAGGAAATTTTATTCAGAAAAAAATATAGAATTTACTATAATTGCAGCTACAAATGTATAAACACTGCCATCTACTAGTTGATGAATATATCTCTACTAAATATTGATGTATTTGTTGCACAAAATACAGGAACACTGCATTCCAAACACTTTATTTATGCGTGAATGAGGTAGGGGGTATCTGGGTGCCTCCTTTTTGTTAAATGGGACTTCCAGATTCCAATAAACCCCCAAACGCAAATCCCCACAACTACTGTTGTGATGCACTGCTATGCATTATGCTTTAGGCTCTGTTGTACAATGCCCTTGCTTACCATTCAACAAAAACTTTCACTGCGCTACACATAAAGCAGATGCATTGCCATGTTTAGGGTTGTTAATGGTGATATAGAGGCTGGGATTAAAAATACCATTTCAGTCTTTGTAAATTACACCAAGCTGTGCAGTGAAATAACGTCCTTACAGGAGGTCTCTAACTTACAAGCAGACCTCAATGCACTGTTTAATTGGGCAACTATGTGGCAAATGAGGTTTAATGTTGATAAATGTAAGGTTATGCACTTCGGGGCTAAGAATATGCATGCACCATACATACTAGGGGGAGTACAACTGGGGGAATCAATGGTGGAGAAGGATCTGGGAGATCTGGTAGATCACAAGCTTAATAATGGCATGCAATGCCAAGCTGCTAAAACGAGCAAAATACTTTCTTGTATTAAAAGTGGTATAGACTCCAGAGAGAGAAATATAATATTACCCCTGTACAAATCATTAGTAAGACCTCATCTGGAATATGCAGTTCAATTTTGGGCACCAATTCACAAAAAGAACATTGGGGAACTGAAGAAAGTACAGAGAAGGGCAACCAAACTGATAAGAGGTATGAAGGAACTCAGCTATGAGGAAATATTAAAGGAATTGAATGTATTCTCTCTTGAGAAGAGGAGATTAAGGGGGGATATAATAAACAAGTATAAATACATCAGTGGTTCATATAGTGAACTTGGTATAGAGTTATTCATCTTGAGGTCATCACAGAGGACAAGGGGGCACTCTTTACGTCTGGAGGAAAAGAAATGTAATCTTCAAACACGGAAAGGGTTCTTCACAATAAGAGCTGTGGAAATGTAGAATAGACTCCCTCAAGAGTTGGTTCTCGCCAGCTAGTGGATTGCTTTAAAAAAAAGCCTAGATTCTTTGTTGGATACACAGAATATAACTGATTACTAACATTTATAGGTAAAGTTGATCCAGGGAATAACTGATTGCCTCTTGGGGGATCAAGAAGGATTTTTTTTCCCCTGCAGGACCAAATTGGATCATGCTTTGCTGGGTTATTTGTTTTCTTCTGGATCAATTGTGAGCGTAGGATTATAACTTTTCTTTTTATGGTTGAATTAGATGGACTTTTGTCTTGTTTCAGTCAGACTAACTATGTAACTATGTGTTGTGGTAATGCATATTATAAACTATAAACAATATATTGCTTGCCTAACTTACAGCTATCATTTATATCAAATTTGTCTTCATTATTAAAGGGAAACATTTGCTTATTATTATTTTTTTGTTGGGGGATAAGAATGCTATCTGCATTGAAAATGAAGCTGTCAGCCATTTTCAGCTTCTAAAAGTAACAGAACAGCCTAAGAGAAAACATGTAGGAGGGCATTCTGTTTAACAGGGGCAACAACAGGCATCCTGTGGTACCTTCTCTTCTAGATTACCTTTCATTTACAATGTTTTTTAAATGCTGACAGGTTCATGTAAGGCCCGGATATTGCAAACAGCAGACATTTGACTTTATTATTATTGTTACTATTCTGCTATGATATGGTGATTGGGATAAAATGTACTGTTCTAACTGTCCTTATTTCACAGAAGTGGAAATTCTGCAGCATACCAAGTTGCTTAGCAACTGACATTTGCTTGTGCATACTGCACTCTTTTGATGGGTTCTTATTATGACACTCTTGCTTAAATAATACAAACGTACCATCAGAATGTTTAAAATGAGTTGGGCAGCCAGAGTAAAGCATTGCATTTTAGAGGTCACAGCAGTAAACATCATAATCCATAATACCTATAATACCTTATGAAGTGCTTGTTACTATAATGAGCAATGTAGTTATGCATGATTTTAACAAGCTTGAATCATACATTTGGAATGTTATTTCTTTTTATTTATGTTTTTAACCACTCTTTAAAATACTAAAGTATAAATCTATTAATGTTTTATATATATATATATATATATTATATATATATATATATATATATATATTATATATATACCGTTCAAGTCAAAGCGAGATCTTTCAGTTTATATAATAAAAGAACAAATTTCAAGGAATGGAAACTGCATTTATTTTTTGACATACTGCTCTGCTACATTTATACACTTATTCCTGGAAAGTTTCGGCATAGAAAGATTTGTCAGTAGATCTGAACCATCGCAGGACAGCCTGCTTCACTTCAACAATGATTGTGTTCACCATTCCCACAGAAAGATTTATCTCTCATGCAATTTCACGACAGGTTATGCATCAATTATCCAGGATCAGGCATCCCACGCTCTGAATGTTCACAGGAATGACTGCTGTGGGCTGGGAATCACCATGGCTGGGATCATCACTGATGGATGTACAGCCATTTTGAAATGTTTACACCATTCAAATGTCTTACTGCGTCTGAAGGAAGAAGGGTCAGCCGCACACCGGAGGATAGATGAATATAGTGTGTATTTATTGATCCATAGGACATACAAAACACTAGGACATGAATACAGGACTTGTTAACGCATTTCACACGAGATCGTGTGAAACGCCTTAAGTCCTTTATTCATGTTCTGGTGTTTTGTGTGTCCTATGGATCAATAAATATACACTATCTTCATCTATCCTCATGTGTGCGGCTGACCCTTCTTCCTGTTGCATCGTGTGTGGTGGCGAGCCAGAGCCTGCACCTGTTGTGGATTGATCTGGATTGTTTGCCTGAGCAGTATACTTTTTGTTCTTTTTATTACTGCGTCTGAACATCTGATCAACATACTGTGCTTGAAGTCTTCTGTAGATATCCACGGAATTTACGCCCTGGTTCACAAGAAACTTCATCACTACACGCTGTTCCATGCACGCACTAACACTGTTGTTTGCCAACTTGATTAGCGGTCTCTGGACTGGACTGTGACATGTGTGCCACCTATCAGTAATAGGACACACTTGCCACTTACTACTGTGTAGTACCACCATACTAGCATCCCTTTTTATATCTGTAAAATTAAAAGTCCCGGTTTGACTTGAACGCCATATATATATATATATATATATATATATATATATATATATACGTACACGCACACACACACACATCAGTGGATATTTTATTGTATTTATATTGCTAATCAGCCAATCAGCCAATTTAAGTGACTTTGTATGTGGCATGGTTGTTGGTGCCAGACAGGCTGGTCTGAGTATTTCAAAAGCTAATCTACTGGGATTTTCACACACAACTATCTCTAGGATTTACAGAGAATGATCTGAAAAAGAGAAAACATCCAGTGAGTGGCAGTTGTGTGGACAAAAATGTCTTGTTGCTGTCAGAGGTCAGAGGAGAATGGGCAGACTGGTTATGAGATGATAGAAACGCAACAATAACATGTCAATATGGACCAAAATCTCTGAGAAATATTTCCAACACCTAGTTGAATATATGCCACCAAGAATTAAGGTAGTTCTGAAGGCAAAAGGGGGTCCAGCCTGGTACTAGCAAGGTGTACCTAATAAAGTGGCCAGTGAGGGTATATCCCAACTGTCTTGTAAAAAAAATGGCAAAGCTTGTCAAAATTGTGTTTTTCACAAGTATTCCTGGATTTGTGATAATCATTGATGTAAATGTGGTGTACAGTAGGGTGGAACATAATTTAAAAATAAATTAACAATTTATTAAATAATAAAATAATTTAACAATCTAAAAATGTGGGTTCTCTGGCATATACCTGTTCATTAGCTGATGTTCCTAAATGCCTAGGATATCAATTAACATGGGTACTTTTATAACTATTTGTGGCATATTGACAGGTGCCTCAAGATGAGTGGGGAGGGTATCCCTCTGGTAGTAAAGATGAGGAGATTCCCTGTCGAAGGATGCGAAGTGGGAGTTATATAAAAGCCATGGAGGAGGACAGTGGAGATTCTGACACAAGTCCTAAAACATCCCCTAAAAGACCTGAACCACTACTGAAATCTATTGTGCAAAGATCACACGGAGAAGTACAAAAGTAAGTCACTTTGAGTTAACATTATTGTCTTTTATTGTGGATGATACTATTGCTTTATCATTTTTTTTATCTTTTGTGAAAATTTAGCTACAGCTATATCTGCAAAAAAAAAATAATAGCTTGGCACAGTAAAGGGTATTCCAAATCTCAACTTAAATTAATATATTATATTATTATACAGGATTTATATAGCACCAAAAGTTTGCACAGCACTCAACGTGAACATTCATTGTTAAATGCATTACCTGCTTGCTTGTTGGGCTTGAAAGCTTAGCGATCCCTTGGTTGGACTAAAAGGGCTGCCAGCTTTGACCATGAGCAAGTCAGCTGCAACCTATGTTGACTATCCACTCTTCCTGTCCTGGGAAATTAGCTGCATTAGTATTAGGATCTTCATTTGAAATTAAAGGGGAAAATCCTTAAAAAAACACATCAAAGGACTGGTAAATTGCAATATAATACATTTTTTATTACTGGTTTAGATACATTTTAAGCAGTAGGCTCTAGTTGATAATATTTGCATTTATATATTTAATACAGTAACAAAATATGCAAGAGCAAGCATTTACAAATGTGAAAGTTGTAACCGAATTTACTTATAGGTAAACACTCCATAAATAGCTCAAAATAGTTGATTCCTGAAATTATGCTATACATTCACTTTAACACCTCGACATACTGTATACTATTTAATACTGTTCATTATCAAGAGAACCACAAAAAAACACATTTCAAAGTTGAAGAAAAAAAGTAATTCAGGTAGATGTTCTGATCCTAGAAGAAAGTAATTGGAAACTGTTAAGTCTAATTAAGGAAAGTAGACTGATATTAAGTAGAGCTCTGTAATACAAAGGTTACTAATGTGTAGAGAATGGCTTTTTATTAAATCATCCTCACTAGAAAATGGAAGGGAAGGCATTAAAATCATGTGACTCAAATTTAATTGGAAGCAAATGCTGTTTATCATCAGTAAATAATTCAGCCTTACAATGCATTAAATGAATTAACGTTGCAACTGCATTTGGAAAACACAGAGGGCCAAAAGGAAATGTGATTCAATTAGATGGCAAACAAAAAAGCACACTGACAAAGAGTTTCTTCGGGGAGCTGACTATCTATAGATTATTTCATTACATACCTGTGGTTGTTTTTGTCTTTCTCTAAGCTGACACTCATCTAGAAAGTTCTTTCCTTGGTTTGAATGACACTTTGAGCACAAACTGAACTGGCTCCAAGTGCTGTATATCTTGACTTTTATGTAAAGACATTGCCAGCAAGGTATATCTTGACTTTTATGGCAAACAGCCACTTGGCTTACAACTGTTCGATCCAGCCTGACAACCCTTAAAACGTTTTTGATAATAAAATGCCAGTGGTACAAGTGTTTATCCCTTGGCTATAATTCTTGCTGCTGGTTCTTACTGGTGGTCACTTTTCTGGCTGTAATCACAAGTGCATTCTAACTAGAATTATTGCTGTTTTCTGACTGTGCTGCTTGTGCTGATCCATGATTAATGCGGTGGTCAGTTCATAAATGTAGTGGATGTCATTCCCTGGATCTTGTACTGGTCATTACCCCCAGAGTATAGCAGTGGTCAGTCCTGGAATCTGTTTTGTCCACTCCCTAGGTCTAGTCATGCTCACTAATTGGGGTTTATTTACTAAAGCTGGAAAGTGCAAAATCAAGCTTGCTGCTGCATAGAAACCAATCAGCTTATTCAATTAAGCTTTGGCAATAAAACCTGGAAGCTGATTGGTTTCTATGCAGAAGTGAGTCTGATTTTGCAATCTTCAACTTTATTAAATAAACCCCATTGTGTGTTGTGCTGTTGCCTCATTGGGGGAGATATACTAAAACTGGTGCACTCAGAATCTGGTGCAGCTGTGCATGGTAGCCAATCAACTTCTAACTTCAGCTTGTTCAATTAAACTTTGACAATTAAACCTGGAAGCTAATTGGTTTCTGTACAGAGCTGCACCAGATTTTGCATGCTCCTTCCTGTCTTAGTAAATCTCCCCCATTATGTCTAGTGGTGGTCATTCCACTTTGTCTAATTGTGGTTACTACCTAGTGGTCACTTACTTTTCTGCTTATTCTCATGTTACTTCTCTCAGTATTCTGCTTTATATTTTCATTCAAGGTTGTTGTAAACTGGCTAGGAAGTAACACTTCCAGCCTGTAATCTGATTATGGATTAGATACACGGAAACATAGAAGAGTGGTAGCAGAAAAAAAAGAGCAAGTGGTCCATCAAGTCTACCCTATTTTTGTGTATTTATATATGTTTTGATGGGTTTTTTTTTCTTTTTAACTTTTTTTTTTTTTTGCCTGAGTATAGATTTATGTTTGGCTTAATCATGTTTGAATCCACTTACGTTCAGCACATTCAGAGTTTCAGCATGAACTGCAGCAATACTGCAGCATTGGAGAAAGTAGGCAGGTGCAGTAATATATAAAAAAATATTTTTCTATTTGTTCATCTAAAATTTTGTGCATGGATTAATTTTATTTTAATAAACATTTGGGTTACTTATTTGACTACTTAAAGGTAAATGCTACCCATCTATTATAATTCACTGCTGTATGGAATCTACATTAAAAACAAATAAGGCTGCCTGGTTTGTTTAGTGGTGGAAACTTGTAACCAGGGCTGTATTTAGTCATCACTTGTATTTGTGGGATTAGAAATACCTATCTCTCTTTGTTTGCCACTATGGAGGGAATGGGCTGGAATTAAGAAATATGGGCATAGCACAGTGACAAGAACTTCCTGTAAGATTTCTGCCTTTACTGTAGAAACAATTGAGTACTGACGTGATACTTTTTTTATTTGCACTAACATACAATTTTGAGGACAAGCTTTCGGGGTATGTCCCCTTCTTCAAGGTCCAAGCAGTACTATTATTACAACGTTGTAGCAGAATGTTAGAAGAGATGTGTGACATTCTGCTAAAACTTTGTAACAGTACTGCTTGGACCTTGAAGAAGGGGACATACCCCGAAAGCTTGTCCTCAAAATTGTATGTTAGTGCAAATACAAAAAAAATAACGTCAGTACTCAATTGTTTCTGTCGCAAGTGCACTAATACGGCTACAATCACCTCAAGCAAAATTGCCTTTACTGTGTTATTCAATGCAGATGTAACTGTCCTGTGGAATACATCAGTGGCCATTTGCATTAGTCAGCAGCAGGTATCTCTTCAATGCTCTGGACTTTGAGTTTTGCTCTACTAGTTTCTGGCTGCCAAGAGGCTGTTAACTCTTTACTGCAAGTCATCCAGATGCCTAGTGTTTCTGTGCTGATGCTTTGACTTTTTACCCCCTGCCTTGTCTGGAAAGTACACTATCTGGCTTTATATTTTATTATTGGTCCTTGCCTATTCCTGTATAGTTTTGACTTGCATTTGTACTTCATTCTGTCTTGTATTGTGCTCTCTCTTTCTTTTGCATAATGCTATACCCCTGCTGGACCAGGGTTCTAGTAAGCAAGGGATCTTTACTCACTGACTACCTGACTTTGACTGAGTTGTAACATGGATCAGCGGGATTACCTTTACATGCCAAACATTCACTTGTCAGGATGCAGGCAGGAAGAAGCAGCTAACAGCTGACATCAGACGTTTTTGTTATTGATTTTTAGTTGAACAGCTCATCATGAGTTTGTCTTGTTGTCTGGAAGTCTTAATCCACTAATATGTTGGATTGTGGGAGGCAATCAGAGCCCCCAGAGGATACTCATGGAAAAAGAATATACAAAGTTCTCCTTGAGTGGCACTGGTGATTTATAGGTATGACTAAAATTTCAACAAAAATCTCTAGATTACATTGAAGTTTCACCATTTTGGTGAAAGTCATTTGAGCCATTGTACAAATTAAAGCAAAATTAAGTTTTTTTTGTTTTTGCATTTTGTTGGTGGTTGCATTGAGCTTTTAATAGCTTGTGTGCACTAGCCTATTTCAACTATCCTGGACTTGCTCTTGTGCAAAATAATCTCTTCTAAGCATCATTATTTTATAGTTTTGATTGCACAGAAAGGAAAAACAAAAAGCAGAAGAAAAAGTAAAATAAAATTTGGTCAGCAGGACACAAAAAGGATAAAAAAACACAAATACAAACAAAATTACATGAAAAAACTTTGGGTCCCCCTAAACTCTGCACAGCCAGGCAACACGCATTGTCAACTCTTGCATCCACAGTCAGCAAACAGTCCATGAGCTTGGTTTGTGTTGTTTTATTAGGCGTTAACAACTTGGATAGGGTATATGGGGGTCCCATTGGAACTGAAACAATTTTGGAGGACAACCTCTTATGTACAAAAGACAAAAATCCAGCAAAAAGCACAGATAAATAAATCCTGGACTCCACTCCTTTAAGAGCGGCTCTTGTCTTTTGAAGAATCAGCACACAGTCTTAACCAGGAGCACTTGGTCCCCTTAAATGAACCTCCTCAGACCCCAGATGAAAATCTCCCCATCCACCTGGCTGTCATGAGAGTATTCCAGGGCAAGGGATTCTGAGATACACAAAGAATGCAGTCCCAGGGAGAACTAGTTGGGTATTACACCTGACACCACCCTCTCCCTTGTAGGCCCAGGGGGTGTACTCACACTGTCCTGTTCCTGTAGCTGTAAAGGTGAAGCTGCTTTCAAGCCTTACACTGATAGGCTGTCTTTCTCTGTTAGACTGTAAAGCAGTGGAAGTCCCTCTTTCCAGCTGTCAGCCTGTAGGTAGACCCCCCTCCTCTGGGGTCCCCTCCCAGGCTTCACATCTTCAGCACTTCCTCATTCCATCTTCCACCTGACTCCCCTGCTGACCAAGCTCATATTTAAGGGCTGACCTAGCCAGCATGCCAAGCCTCCTGCCTGGGGATTGGCCATATTCCCCTAAGTATGCAGATCAGGCTTTCCTCACCCCTGCCTACTGGCTTCTAGAAACTTCTCCAGAGCAGGGGGAGGTATCAGAGAACTGACATGCAGAGCCCTCCAGCATTAACCTAAA